TTATTATTATTATTATTATTATTATTATTAAAAATTGCAATTCTGTATTTGGAAAGGATTTCTGCACATTATCCTAGAGGGAATGCACAATTTCATTTCCACAGTTCTAAGCTCAAACACAAATTTTCCAAGAATCACATATAAAGGAAACAGAAATGATAGAAAAGCCTGCTATAATGCAAAGCATTTGCATATACAGTATCATGTCACATGCATTCATATAAAGCATCCATATACTGTATATACTAACAGAACTACCCAAACCTAAGACAAAACATTGAAGTGTGAGTTACAGAGTTTTGGAAATTAAGCTACAACGTCTGAAAAATATTTACATGATTCCAATGCTTTGCATTAGAGTCATCCTGCTCCACATAATTTGAAATATTAGCTTCCAGCTATAAGAGCCTCTGTACCTGCTGCCTGCAGCCTGCAATGTGCCAGAGTGGTCAAGAACAGTGCAATTGAGAGTTTCTCAAGCAGTGGTGTGGCTATTTAGGCTTTAAGAAGAAACTGAAAAACTGGAAAGATTCTGACCATCCACAACAAACATAGATCACCATTAATTTTCCTTCACATTTTTAAGCACTACCAATAGCACAATATTTGTGGAGTATTGTAAAGGTTTTATAAAAATACAAACACATCTGTTGTCCTAGAACAGAAGACTCTGAAAGCTGAATTTACTTTTCTTACCACAACGATTTTGTGACTTTCTTTATAAAATTAGCTGAAAAAACGTATCTCATGGATAACCTAACTACTTGCATTTTTTATTTTGTTTGTTGGATCCTGTTAAATTTTCAGTTTTAACTTTTTTTCGTTCGCTCATATATTTGAGCACATCACAATCTGAAATCCAAAACTATGCCCAAAAAGTCTATAACCTTACACGTGAATGAGTGCAAAGAGCATGTAGTCCATTTCCCCTATGATGTATTAGGCCACAAAACATGCAAACCAGATGTCCAAAAACTTTACTACTTCACAGCTGCAGATGTCAAATACTAGGCCTTGTTACCTTGACAACAGGGTTTGGCTAAATGATTCCAGCTGGTACAGCAGGGAATCCCAGGATGGAAAGATTTTTCTTTTCTGTCAATTGGCAAAGCACTGAGAGAGTGCAGACACATCAGAATAACAGACACATCAGAAAATCTACAATTTCCTTTTAAGAAAAATATACAAAGAACCACTCTAGGTCTCCTATATATGGTTTCACTCTCTCTTTTTTTCTGTCTGTATCCTTGCAAATGCTGTAAAATATCAATTTATGTTATCAGAATTCTAGCACATACAGTATGGTTGTGAGGTTCTTTCTGTTTCATGGTAATACAGTTAACTCCTTTGTTATAATCGTTCTGCTATCACTTACTGTACAATACAAATACACAGGGAATATGACTCCTGTTTTGAAAGTCTCTTAGGAAAGACATTAATGCTGCTACACTGTAATTTTTAGAAACAAAATGACCTCCGTTTTTTAGGATGCTTGTTTAATATTCTAAGCAACTTAAATGCTAAAAATGATCAAAGAAAACATCCTTTTCCAACCTTGAATGATTGAAGTGCCTCTGTAGCTGCCCTTGCTCTGCGAATGCTGACAAAATGAATCTTGCTGTAAACAGAGACCGACTGCAAGCCTTACATTCCACAACACAGAATGACCTTTTGTGATTTTGTTCTCATCTATTTTTTCTGTTTTTTTTGCCTCTTCTAACTTTGAAAGGACAAAAAATAAACCAATTGTTCTTAAAGATTTATGCACGTTTTTTTTTTATTTTCTGAATATTTGAAATAGGAGCCCTTTATAACAATAGAGGCTATTTTCTTAAAAAGAATGAGTCTAGTACCAACAAAATTAGAAGAGAGCAAAATGAAATAAAAATTGAACAATAAATTTCTAGAAGCATTTGCTTTGATAATAAAATCACATTCAAAGTACACACTAATATCAAAAAGTATAAAATAAATATTAAAATATTTTACTGTATCTGTGACATTACCTATGACAAAAACTCAATATGTAGGCATCGGGAGAATGTAGCACAGATATTGGGAAAATACCAATAAGAAAAAAATACCAAAAATGTAACAACATTGAACTGTTCCTAAATGGAATGTTGGCACAAATAAATGCAGAGATTGTAATACATTAATCACAAAATGTGGGCATTATTCTACAAGAACCCCCACAATTTATTTTTTATTTTTTTACAGCAACTGTGCTGTTGCTTTGTTCCAAAATAAGTCGTATCACAGACACAGGCAACATTAACATTGTTACCAAAAGAATAAGAAATTGATGTATTAGTGTTGCTATGTAAATGAACCTATGAATTTCAATGCATTTGATCAATTCTATCACTATGATCTCACTAAATCAAATGTAATTGTAAGGAGTTAGTCTTCATTAAAGTTTGCACACAATTCCATTGAGCAAAAGAGGCTAAAACATGGTTAAGACACTGCCTCCTTTGACTTTATTTTTAAATACTATTAGAACCACGGTTTTTAATTGAATTGTCCAACATCACAGCGGACAGAAGGACATATTAACCTTCTTTTAAAATAAAATGAAATAATCACTTGTCTTTGAAAAAATGAAAAACATTGCAAATATTTAAAGACAATTAACATCCCATTAACTTGGAATTACTATGCTGTTCTGAAAACATAACATCATTCATACACAGTACAGTAAATGATTTATTTTCAGTATTCATACAAAACAACAAAACATTCCCATCACCCTAATCTTGACACCTGCTACTTCCATTATTAGTCATTTACTAGCTGTGTACCCTTTTCTATCTTCCCTGTTACAATCTCATAGAAGGAAGAGATCATTAGAAGTAATATTTGAATCATCTGTCTATATTTAATTAGCAGGAATATTTAATTCAACACAGGAAGGCAATGAGCATGTAAGAGGTGGACAACACAAAAGTAGTAAGTTTATACTAACGTTTTAAAAAATTAATCTAAAAATTTTAAAAAATAGTTTTAACAACTGGATTCCACACCTTTACTGTGATACATTGTGTATACCTAAAATGCAAACATTTATAGGTAACAAGCCTACTTATGCATTTATAAAATGCTGCCTCTAAAAATGTTAGTTTCTTAAACAAAAAAGTACTAATAATGTTTAAATTTGGAAAGCACATCTATTCATACAATGTTGTTATAAGTCTATCTACAGTATCTAGTTTTTTTTCAATACTAGGATTCAGACAACATTCAACATCTTGTTGAGTCATCATGTTAGCATGTATCATCAAAATAAACAGCATAACAATAAAGCAATTTTAATAGGTACCTGCGTCAGGATGCGTAGGCTGCAAAGGAACAAGTTAAAGGTTTATTCTACGCTGAAAAGAGAAGAAAGGAAACACAACGTTGTGTTTCCTTTCTTCACTTTTCAGCATGGAATAAACCTTTAATTTGTTCCTCTGCAGCATACAAATGATGCAACATGTTACCACCACTGATTTTCCCCACCCATGAACTAGGCTGAAATATGCTACCAAGAAGGTGAACGGAATATAATGAGAGAAAAATGTTCTGAGCTTCATTAAAGTGAAATGTGAGACAGGAAAAGTAACAAACGATAGAGAGGGTGCAAACAGGGAGAGGTTAGGAAAGCGAGGAGCAGGAGAGGTGAGAATGAACAAACCAGAGAAGGAGTAAGACCGCAGGCGATGGGAGGTGTTTGGTGGGTTCATGCTTTGCCAGATGCCCCTGATGCGAGCGTTGTATTCTGGAGGAGCAGGGTAACGCAGAAACCAAGGAGGAGAAGAGGAAGAGTAGGGGGTGGAGAGGGAGATGCATAAATGGTCCAGGGCAGAAGAACAAATGTTGAAAACAAGAGAAAGAGAAAAGAAGGTGCTGGGTTATTTTCAGCAAAATTAATACCCCATCAAAACCTTAATGTGAATCACTCTAAATGAGACTATTCTATATACAAGAGTATTATTTTGAACACAGGGACATCTTTTAATCCACAGTTCAGGTTATGCCCATTTATATTATATTTTTTATGAATTCAGCACTACTACAGATTTCCACATGTACAGAAACACAAATTAAACATACTGTAATGCAACGGGGTTCAGGTGGGCGCCCTTGCCGCATTAGGTCAGCCCTGCACCGTTGGGGGCTCGAACCCGGGATTCGTGCGTCACTCAACAGGGACCCAGCCCAGTGAGCTAAAGAGAGATCTCTCTACAGCCCAGTGGCTGTAGTCCTGCTATCACAGGGAAGGGCGGCAACATCACCGCTCTGGTAAGCCGGCTCTTACAAAGTACCTGTCGGCCATATGCATTACACTCTCCCTCGATTAACTCGTCGACCCTGGCAAAGGGCTATCCCACCCTGCTTCTGACACCAATGTAACGCAACGGGGTTCAGGTGGGCGCCCTTGCTGCATTAGGTCAGCCCCGCACCGTTGGGGGCTCAAACCCAGGATTCCCGCGTCACTCAAGAGGGACCCAGTCCAGTGAGCTTACAAGAGATCTCTCCACAGCCCAGGGGCTGTATACAATATGTGTGCTAGGGTTCATAAACCAGACCTTTGTTCAATTTATTTAAATTTTAAATTTTATTGTCCCACACAGGTCAATAAATTTTGTTTTCTTTTCTCCGGAGTAAAATCGGACTATATAAGTTGTTGTTTTTTTTAACCTTATCAACATACTGGAATGTTTTGCCAAGTTTCCGCTTATGTTTTGGCTTTTCAAAAAGGTACTTTTTCTCAAAACTGCTTTGAAGCATGTTAATATATTTGTTCAAGATTAAGTATCTGCTTCTGCTAGAATTAAATCTTCCTGACTGACTCCCTTTTCAGCTCAGACTAAATGTTACCCAGTATCAGAACTGAGCATTTTGCTGTATTGCTAGAATAGAAACTACAATCAAAATATCCAATAACTAGGTTTGCAGTGTGAGGACCATACATTACTATGAATATTTTATTTTCCAGATGACTTTTTAACTTTTGACTGACCAATACCATTCTGGGTTTAGCAATGGTAACTCCTTCCTATGCCTTGCAGTTAGAAAGAGTATGCAATATGCTGCATAAAATGTACTGTACAGTATGTTCATGTCAATTTAGAAGGTTTTTAAATAGTATGTCTAGTGAAATACTTGTATGGTTGAATAAAAAAGTTTAGACATATATTGACTTTGTTGATATCTATAAAGTTGGTTCCACTGCTGAGTACAGATACTGTAAATGCTTAAAAAATAAAATTATTTTTTTCTGTCATACACAAGGCTTTAATGATTAAAAAAACAATATGTATGAGGATGTTTTGGTCAAAAGTCTTTCTTCGGTTGTTTAGAAAAAAGGTAACCACATTCCCAGCAGTCTGCTGTATTTTAGTCAACAACAATAAAGAACTTGAAATAAAATCAGTTCTATGTTTTTTCAATCTTCTGTAATCTGTATATGTTATATATGGTATACATAGCTAATACCACTGTTTAAACCACACATCTTTTATTCAAATTTCAATCTGCTACAATATGTACATTTCCTCTGGAATAAGAAAACCTTTTTAAATGACACAAATTCCACTCATGAGCCACATTTTAACAGATGTCTCTTGAAAGCCACAGTTCTGAAGAGTTTATTGGTAACCTAATAGCTTCTATAGCAATTAAAGCAGTAATTCAATCAATCCATTTAGGAATGAAAACCAAAGGAGTGTGTGGCTTCTTAGGGAGTGAGAAACTTAAGACTTAGAGAACAATTTGACAGAACGGTATTATTTGAGTACAAAATTCCCATATGCAACCACTAGATGGCTGTGCCATCTGATTGAAATATTGTGAAAAATATTCCAGTAGGACAGTTCACAGTGCTACTGTAGGATGTTCAGAATCGGTCAAGTACTTTTACTACATTTTTTGTCAAATATAATATTTCTTCCTTATTAGTAGAAAGAGTAGGAAGATAGAGATTTAAGTAAGTGCACTTCTATTCACTTATTTTATACAGTATGTGACTACTGCAGAAATACTGCTAGATATAATCAAAAAGACAATAATTAACTTATTCTTTTGTTTTTAAGACAAAAAACAATTGCTTTTCTGAGTTAAGATTATGCTGAATTTATAAATTACATCTGGTATTTTTGAAGAAACTGGATTTTCATCAGAAAATAGTGGACAATTGACAAACAGTATGGTGTGTCAGTCACATCATTAACTGAAAATCCAGAAGAAATTCAGCAGTCACTACTACTGGTCATGATAAATAATGCTTGTAAAATTCTTCCTGAATACTGAGAATGAAACCTGCCTTTAAATTGTGAAGGGTTGTGGTTTAAGTTGTGTCAGAGAATTTGTTGTATTTTAGCTAAGGACAAAAAAGAGTAGTATTATCAATATTAGTTTTACTGTTTTAATATTAAATGCAACTCTTACCAAAAATAATCTGTATAATCAACAACTCAAATCAAATTAGATCAAAATGATTTTTTTTTTTTACCATGTAGGAAGCCGGATATACAGCACACGCACCTTATTATTCTATTCATTCCATATAACCACTTGTTCTGTGAACTGTGCAGGGCAGCAATGTAGACAGCAGAAACAGTTTCCCAAGCTTGGACTACAAGCATTTAGCACTGAACAATGCAGTTATTATGATGCCAAACTGTTGTACAAGTGCCAACACTATAATAAAAAATAAGACCTATTGTGGTAAAAAATGTCTCTAAATATAAGTGGCCAAAGAAACAAAATCTAGGAAGCAACAGCTTTTCCTCTGTATAAAATATGTTGGAAATCCAAAGATGACTCTGAAAGACTTTAAAGTTCTAGACATTCTAAAACACGCTGGAAGAATTTCACTCCGGATTTAAAGTCTATTAACAGGATTTGAAATGTAAAATATTATATTTCACAAAACTGTTCTTCTTTTTTTCATGCTGTATCATTTTATGGAGGTCAAATCCATGATATTTTATTAATAAAACCAGCTAAATTTCTCAAAGGGTTGTTTTTTGAATATCATACAATCCAATCAACAACAATGTCAAAAGTATATTGAAAAATGGGTCAAGTAAAATGTAAAACAAATCTCTTTCAAGTTCCACAATAACTGCTTTCATGAACATGTACAAATCAGTAATTCTGGTATCAAAGATATGAAATGCAAGTTAAATGTATTTTATTTTTGCATTTGTTTTTGTAGCACAATGTACCATAATACTTTAGGTGAAGGATTTCCAATCCTTGTCCTGGAGACCCATACACCTGCTGATTTTTGATCCAGTCAAGCTCTCAGTAACACAATTAAATATTTTTTTTTTACTTATAGGCTATATTTAAGTAAATGGTTTCACCTTTTTAGTGGTTGTAGGTCCTATTATTAAATTATTACCTACAATACTGTTTATCTTTAAAAATATTAAAGTATTGGACAATATACTCTAAACTGAAGGCTTTCCTTGGAACAAATATGTTCTGGGAATACCTTTAATACAAGTGAAACATACTGATGTTTGAATGCAAACAACCAGATAAAGACTTAAAGCAGGATGCATTTCAAGCCATTTCAAATGGACAATTTTTTAAACCTTTCCAAGTTCTTACAAAGAAGGAAGAGAGACCTATAAAACCTACTGGACAGCAGCCATAGGACCAGAGTTGGCCTTCCTTGATATGAGATACAGTAGTAGTTATACAGTATTGAAAATACAAAAGCAAGGAAGCCAGCATTCCTTATACCAATCTTGTGTATATAAAAAAATAAAATACACATTTTGAAAGTATATACTGTATTGCAGCTGAGCTGGTCATTTTTATCGTATTCTTCAAATTGAATATATAACATTTTCCTTCTTCTATATCCCTATTAAAATACAATAATACAGTGTATTTCAGGTATTGCACCATACATTTGTCAAACCCAGTTCTACTAAAAAATTAAATGAGTGTAAAATTGTTCTTACCAGCCACACGGTGAGCCACCAGTCCCTCTAAGTTGTACTGTTCCTTTTCAGGCTCTACTTCTTTGGGTGGTGGTGGAGACTGGGAAGTGACGGGGGGCAATGGGGAAGAGGAAGCACTGCCCCCTGCTGCACTGTAGCTGCGAGGGAGTCCCACATATGGTGAGGAGACATGGAAGTCATGTTCCTGGAGCTCAGGAGAGTAGGATGCAGTGTTTGTGGGATAAGTGTTGAGGGGCCTCAACTGGAGCTGGCCAAATGCAGCTGTAGATGATTCTGTTGAATAGGGCAGGGCTGCTGTGCTTGCTGGACCTATGTTGCTGGGTTTCTGTTGCCCATAACTGAGTGCATTGTATGGTTCAGATGAAACTGCAGAGCTTGGCGAATATGTATTTGCAGGCTTCTGTGGACTGAAAGCAGCAGATTGCTCTGTTGAATAATTCTGGGCAGCAGCTGTTGTAGGATGGACAGTAGGGATGGGCCTTTGTTGACCCTGACCATAGCTGGCAGAAGGTTCATTGATATAATGTGGCACTGAAGTGTCTGCTTGATAGGCTGGTAACTGAGAGAAAGAAGGCTGAGTGGTTACCACACTGCTGTCTCCTGGGAATACCTGGACTGTAGAAAGTGGAGCGCTGTAGGACTTGGGAAGATGTGTCAAGGCAGGGTCCAGGTCCAACATGAGCATGTTCAGAGCCTCAATCGACTGCTCAATTTCCTGCTGGGAAGCTGTGTGGGGAAACTCAGGCAGGCTGTGAGTCTGCAAGCTGGGATTCGAGTGACCACCATCAAGGGACACTTCTTCAGGAAGACCATGCAACTGCCAAGCATTCAGCCCCCTCTGTACTGCCTCTCTACTGCTGGTACTTCTGGCAGGGGCCCTGGGCATCAGCTTAGGGACAGTTTCCAAACTGGGAACACCAGGTGCACCAAAGGACTGTGACCGGTAAATGTTGCCATTTTGGTTAATATAGCTGCCCTGCGGTGAGCCTAGGTTTGAATCCATGATATGGTCCTGAGCTGAGGCAGAGCTCCGGACCCCCTGGACTGGCATCCCCACTGATTTTTCCAGGGTGATTTTCTCTGGGTAAGGGCCATCCTGCCCATTGATCACTGTTTCGATTGGGTAATAGAGCTCTGCAGGTGTTGCTCTGCCCTCAAAGGATGACAGCGTCCCTAAGCTGTCCACACTGTTTGCCTCCTGACTGTTAGGAATCTCATCATCAAGAATGTCAGTTTCCCTCTCTGCACTATTGTTCCCATTAACATGGATTTGGGCTGGTACTAGATGACGCACACCACCTCCTCCTCCCCCTCCAGCCAAAGCGCCCAGGAAACTCTGTTGATTCATTGGTGCCTCTAAGCCACTCAGGAGCTGATCAAGCTCTTTCTTTTCCTCAGGGCTTAGCGGTTGAGTGACTGTTGCTGCCTGATGCCCAGGGTCATCGGTCCGGTCAGTCTTGATAGAGGCAGTGGAGTTACCCGAGTCACTACTGACAGAGAGCGCGTGATCAACTGCTGGAAGGCCGTTGGCAGTAACTGTTCCTTCAATGGACTCCTTCTTACGAACCTTGGCGTAGAGACTGCCGTCTAGAGGACCTTGTGTGTGAACAACATCTGAAATAAATCAAAGGAAAAAAAGGAGTTTTATTTAAATCCTAAAAACTATAAAGACCATTTTCTAAATGCTTAATCTAAGACTCAGCAAGCAATGGGCACAAGGCAACTGGACAGGATGCCAATTCATCATAGGACACACACAGACACAAATACTCACTCACACCCAGGATCAGTTTTCCGAGAAGCCAACTAACCTACAGTACCAGTATGTCTTTGGACTATGGGAGGAAACCGGAGCACCCAGGGGAAACCCATGTGAACACACAGAGAACATACTGTAGAAACTCCACACACACAGCACCCCAGATCCAGAATTGAACCCAGGGCCCCATCACTACAAGACAGCAATGAAGACCACCGTACCACTGTGCTGGCCAATACAGGATCAAGTATGAAATAAAATTAAAATAAGAAACATACATCCTAACTACAGATTGACTACAATTGAAATTGTGATACTAGCTCTCTAAGGCAATCATAGAAACTTTTCCCTTGTAAAGAACTGAACCGACTCTTTGATTTCTCTTAACAAAATTGCACAAACATTCACATCCTCATAAACAAGGTGTGGGTGACCACAAAAAGTAACAAAGTTTAAGTACTGTTTTTTTTTAATTATTTTTGCTGTCACCAACTGTGCTTTCCAGAAATGATGGGCTTTTCTATGGTTTTCTAAACACTCTTTACATTCTCCGTAACTGAAGACCATAATAATTTCTGACCTAGCCACCTACATTTGACTACAAGATAAGACATTTTCAATTAAAATCATGTATGCCAGCAGCCATATCACCCTGCAACTCACAACTGGCAACCCACTGAAGCTAAGCAGGTGTGAGCCTGGTTATTACCTGGATGGGAGACCTCCTGGGAAAAACTAAGGTTGCTGCTGGAAGAGGTGTTAGTGGACCCAGCAGGGGGCGCTCACCCTGTGGTCCATGTGGGTCCTAATGCCCCAGTATAGTGACGGGGACACTATACTGTAAACAGGTGCCGTCCTTCGGATGAGACGTAAAACTGAGGTTCTGACTCTCTGGTCATTTAAAAATCCCAGGGTGTCTCCCGAAAAGAGTAGGGGTGTAACCCCGGTGTCCTGGTCAAATTTCCCATTGGCCCTTACCAATCATGGCCTCCTAATAATCCCACTATATGAATTGGCTACATAAGTCTGCTCTCCTCCCCACTGATATCTGATGTGTGGTGAGTGTTCTGGCGCACTATGGCTGCCGTCGCATCATCCAGGTGGATGCTGCACATTGGTGGTGGTGGAGGGGAGTCCCCATTACCTGTAAAGCACTTTGAGTGGAGTGTCCATAAAAGCGCTATTTAAGTGTAAGCAATTATCATTACCCTGTTTTTATCTGATTGAATTAAAACAAGTGTTTCTTTATTTCTTTAAAACATAGAAAACAAAGTCGCATATGTTTAGGGAAAACAAGGCTGGGTTTGAATTTCTAGACCCAGAATGCTAATTATTAACACCTGAAGTCCTTGGCTTAATGTGCTGACTTCACAGAAAATGCAGAATGCATCTGCCAGTTTTCTCAAACACAAAAAAATAACAGTGAGGGGGGAATAAAAAACCCATCAGAAAACTAAAAGCTGTTCAATTATTGAAACAAGGTAATTTTTGTGCCAACAAAACCTTTTTCTTCTTCTTTTGCTGACCTGGTCATTACACATAGAGCTTAGATAAAGTAATCTTTGTGAAATGCATACCATACTGATGCACAACTTTATTTACTTCTTTCCCTTTGAACCAGACTTGAAATCATGGTTTCTGTGGGTTTCAATGTCAAATAGTACATTGAAAATATCAGTTTTTTAGAGGTTGTTTATACATCTGCAAAGCACTTTTCGAGGTTATTGTTGGTTATTGAATCTAATAAACATTGTGCTGTTTTTAAAATATTTCTGTACATTAATGATGTCTCTATGGCACAGTGCTTGCTTTTGAAATACATGAAGTATAGATACATAGCTTTGGTTTTTGAATTATAACTTTATTTTGAGTTAAAATACTGTAAATACACACACTCTAATTACCAGAGGCTCATATAGTAACTGCAAGAATATATGCTGAATATATTTTTTCAGTGCAATAGTAGAAAACATATAATAAACTTAGTCCAACTCTATAGCACCTTTTACATTGGAAAAATCTTACCAGTTCTCCATAAATGGTCTGGTATTGATTAGGCCCAGATAGTCCCACATAACCATCTCTCTTTTTTCTCAGCACTGCCTTTCTAAATCTCTGATGAGTCCTTAAAGGCAATAGGATCTTCCCAGGAAAAGTTATGAGTTACGGAGCCAGAGGAATGAGTCAGAAATGGAAAACTGTCTTAAGAAATAAGTGCCTTATGGTATTTCCTGACTCCTTGGAATCAAAGCAAAACATTTCCTAAACACACAAGCAGTAAGTTTTCTCAGCCTGCTCCCTCCTACTTACAGCTCTAAACTGCTACTGGTCAGTTTTGTAGGCCGTTGTGTTTACAGTGCTGCTAAATTAACAATGTTCTCATTGTTCCCCTTGGTCAGCTATTGTCAAAACATGTTAGTCGTAAGTGTGACAATGAGCAAAGGTTTCATTTTGACCATGACCCAAACAATGATATGACTTTGGTTTCAGACCCTGCCTATTAATAGACCTGCCAACATCTCTGAAAGTCCAAGAAGTTGTCACGTTGCATCTGTCTATCACCATGTGATTTTGCAGTGTCTTTCTGCATGCCAGATAATTGACGGAAATTATCTTGTCTACAAAACAGCTGCAGTCTATGTGCTGTAAAACTTTTTGGAGCATACAGACTACACTAATCACTGTCCTACACTTTAGTGTATTTCCACCTTGCACAAATGATTCTAACTAAACCTATACAATAGTAACAACTAACTAAACCTAGATAACAGTAAGCTACAGTATAGATATCATTGGTAATTCAACACAATATTCTGATATTTACAAAAAAGAAATTAAAATACAAATATTTAGATGTGATACATCTGGAATCTAATAAACATTTCTGCCACTTTAAAAATCCATGTAAAACAATGAATGTTAGAAGTAAACATTGGAAGTGTTCTTCAGACTTACCAAAACCTGTAGTACTGTTTTGATTTACAGTATCTATCATTAGTAGTTACACCTACCTCTCAGCACCTCAAATCACAATCAAAAGTCCAGGCTCCCACTTCACTATGTCCCCAACTAAAACTGAAAGGTCCAGAGATAGGTTTCTCTTGCTGTTTGATTTGTAAGCTCCTCAGAATTCTGGGTTGTTCTGTAGCAATGCTCAACACAGCTGCTTTACAGAATTAGTGGGATTGTAAATTTTAACACAGAACCATGAGTGTAGTCTGTGGTTACTGATTTTTTATAGGCAACTGGTCATTTAAATTAGTAGCATATTGTACTGAAATCATTAGCAGAACCTCTTTGTCCATTAACAGTATAGCCCCAGGCATTGTATGCAAATGAAGCCAATGAAAAATCAAATTTGCAAATAATTGTGATGTAAACAGATATTTAAAATATATTTCATTTTCGAATGTACCAGGGCACTGACTCCCCAAGACTAAAAAATATATAAGAATGTAAAAGGATTAACTTTCTTAGACTTAATATATTTTTTTACTTGGAGTGTGTGCTGAAAATCATCTAGAGTAGTGGTTCTCAAACTGTGGTACGTGTACCACTGGTGGTACAGTACGTGGAGCGCACCCAAGTGATGTGTCAGATGACCCTGGAAATTTGTTGTGTTCACTGAGAAATTGGGAATTAAAAATTGTATCATTAAAAATTATGTAAAAATGTAATCGGTTTCAGAAAGCTTGAGACGGGTTTTCATATTTTCTATTTTAATCAAATTAGTTTATGTGTCAAATACGCAGCCTACAGTATGTACTTAGCTATGTCAATATAGTTCATGCTAATACTTCAGTGTTCATACTCCTCTTGAGCTTTCAAAGACACAGCTTAGAGCCTCATTTTCCAACAGAACAAATTATCTAAAATTAATACCTCACAAAAATCAAGTATTATGTCGTGGCTGAAAGGAATAGACACCAAGAGTACTGACGCCAGCTCCAGCTCCAATAGATCATGCACACCTGTTGAGAACGAGGAGTATTATACATCGGCCACTGACACTAGCTCTGGTGCTGAACCTGACACAGACAGCACTGCTAGTGTTAGCAAACGTCGGAAAACGGCTACAGGGCAGTATTATCCAAATTATCTAAGTGCGCAGCGCTATTTTTATTATATGTGTGTGAGAGTGTGTGTGTGCGTGTGCTCATGTTGGTCATTGAGATTTTCTGTGGTTCCTATGAGAAAATGACTTGTACTGTAGGTGGAACTTGGATGCTTTGGTTTGATCAGGGGTGGTACTTGGTCCAAAAAGTTTGAGAATCACTGATCTAGGGTCTTACTTCACACAGTTGCCCTTTGTATAAATGAGCTTTTCAAACTTAACAGCTGTATTAAAATGCCCCAAAATCCCAGTTTTAAAAATGCAGGGTTAGCAAATTGAGATACAATATATCAAAAATAAAATTACAGTATGGCTTCTACAGACGTGAATGCATTCTTAAACACAGTAAGATATACAGAAACTTTCTCACCAAATACTTTAGTTCTTCTACTTATTATACCATTATTTAAAAGCTGTAAAAGAAATATACATAATTTAATGTGACACTGTTGATTTAAACAATTTCTGTAACAAAAATACAATAGGAAAATGTTGCTGCTCTTTTAAATCTATTTTATAGATAGACAAGACTCTTCAGTGATTTTGTTTCATTTTTACAACACACCCAGGCGCTTCCTTAGTCGTTTACACACGATTTTTGGAAAAAATGGACCTCATCCCTATCTATAAATTTGGCTGCAGTTGTCAATGACAACTCCAGGAAGTTCCAAAGAGTCTATAGAATCAAACTACTGTAGAAATGAGTTCAGGATACTCTGCTATGCACAGGAGACTATGCAA